ATGAAACCACAAAACACAATTAATCCCAAAGGAGGCAGAAAAAGAAAGGAAAAAAAGAAACAAATATAAAATAGCAAGTACTAGATTTAAACACAACCATATTGATGATTACATTAAATGTAAATGGTATAAATATCCTAATAAAAGGCAGACATTGTCAGATTGGATAAAGAAGCAAGATTCATTATGTGCTGTCTATAAGAAACCCGCTTTAATTCTAAAGGCACAGACAAGTTAAATGTAAAAGGATGAAATGCTGCCGACCACCCCTGAGACTCAACTTCTTGAGACTGAAAGGTAAACACAAACATACCCTTCCCCTCCAAAAAAATGTAAAAGGATTAAAAAAAAAAAACCCAAACTATATACCATAATGAAGCTAATTTTTAAAAGGCAGTAATGGTTATATTAATATCAAACAAGGAAGGTTTCAGAACAAGAATTTTTAGCAGGGAAAAAGAGACATTTCAGAATAACAAAGGAATCTATTCTGTGAGAGGATAAAACAATCCTATATGTTTATGTACTGAATGACAGAGCTTCAAAATACATGAAACGAAAACTGATAAATGGAGATTTCAACATCCTTTTGTCAGTAATTGACAAAAAATCAGTAAGGATATAGGAGAGATTAGACAAATACTATTAACTAACCTAATCTAATTGTCATTTATAGAGTACCCAATAATAGCAGAAACATTTTCCTTTCAAGTGCACACAGAGTATTCACCAAGATATACCATATTTTAACCCATAATTAAGGTCTCCGTACATTTAAAAGTATTAAAATTGTACAAAGTATATTCTCTGATCACAATAAAAATAAACCAAAAATCCATAACATTAAGGTATCTAGAACACTCTCAAATATTTGGAAATTAAGAAAAAGAATTCATAAGAACCTAGAGGGAAATTTATAGCACTAAATGCTTCTACCTTAAGAAACAATAAAACAAAAAAGAACAAATTAAACCTCAAATAAGTGTGAGGTAGGAAATACTAAAGATAAGAGCAGAAATCAACAATATAGTGAAAAAAAAAAAAACCAAAAAAGAAAAATCAATGAAACCAAAAGCTAGTTCTTTGAGATCAATAAAAACAATAAACCTCGAACAAGGCTGTTTATGAGAAAAATAGAAAAATATAAATTACCAATATCAGGCATGAAAGAGAAGACCTCTCCAGAGATCTCAGGCACTAAAGGAATAATAAAATATTATGAACAATTCTATACCAATAAAGTCAACGATTTAGATAAAATGCACAAATTCCTTGAAAGACACAAACTGCCAAAGAAGAAACAGGAAAACCCAGAGATCAGAAAGTCCCAAATCTATTAAAGAAATTTAATTCTCAATAAAAACCTTTCCACAAAGAAAGCTATAGGCTTAGGTGTCTATGGTGGTGAATAGTATCAAATATTTAGGGAAAAATATTATCAAGTCTACATAAAACTTTCAGAAACTGGCAGATAAAGGAATAATTTCCTACTTATTTCTATGAGGTCAGCTTTACCCTGATACCAAAACTAATATTACAAGAAAATTACAGAACAATATCTTTCATGAATAGAAACAAAAATCCTTAATAAAACATTAGCAAATTGAATCCAGTAATATATAAAAAAATAATATATCAGGACCAAATGAAGCTTATCCTAGAAATGAAAGATTAGTTTAACATTTGAAAATCAATCAATGTGATTCGCCATATTAACACACTAAAAAGAAAAGCCATATGGTCATCTCAAAAAGTGCAGAAAAAGCATTTGACAAAATTTAACATCTACGCATGATAAAAATTCTCAACAAGTTAGGAATAGACGAGAACTTCCTCTACCTGAAATGAAGGTATCTCTGAAAAACCTACAGCAAACACCATAATGGTGAAAGACTAAATGCTTTCCTGCTAAGACTGGGAACAAGGCAAGTATGTTCACTTTCCTCTCATTTATTCGACACTGTACTGAAGAGTCTAGCCATCAGTGCAGTGAGGCAAGAAAAAGTAATGAGAGTCATTCAAAATGGAAAGAAGAAAATAAAACTGTCTTTATTAAAAGAAAGCATGATTGTCTATGTATGTATATTAGTGGAAGGACAGACACAGAGATCAATGGAATAGAATAAGGCATCCAGAAATAGACTCACACATAGATGTTTAACTGATTTTCAACAAATATGACAAGGTAATGCAATGAAGAAAGGATAGCCTTCAACAAATGGTTCTGGAATTGAACATCCACAAGCAAAAAAATAACCTCAAATCTTTCACTACATACAAAAATTAATTTGAAACGGGTCATAGACCTAAATGAAAGAGCTAAACCTGTAAAAATTCTACTTCTTAGAAAAAACACGAAAAGCAAAATTCATAAAAGAAATAATTTGGCTTCATTAAGATTAAAAATTTCTGCTTTATGAAAGACACTGTTCAGAGAATGAAAAGACAGCTTTGGACTGAAAGAAAATATTTGCAAATCATCATATTTCCAGAATATGTAAAGAATCTTACAATGCAATAAGAAGACAACCAATTAAAAAATGGCAACAGATTTGGATCGTTCCCCAAAGATAAAGGAATGGGAAAAACGCACAATGAAAATCATACTTAACAGCATTAGTCACTAGCAAAATGCAAATTAAAATCACAGTGAGCTACCTATCACTCTACACCTACTAGAATAGCTAAAACTAAAAAGACTAATGGCATGGATATAGAACAACTGAAACTCTCATACATTGCTGGCAGGAAAGCAAAGTAATACAATTACTTGAGAAAACAGTTGGTAATTTCTTATAAAGTGAAGCATATATCTTGTCCACAAATGTTTATAGTGGCTCTACTTTTAATAGCTAAAAACTAGAACTAACCCAAATGTCTATTGACTATTGAATAGATAAACAGACTGTGTTATAGCCACACAAGGGAATACTATTAAGCAATAAAAAAGAACAAACAACTGATAACACACAACACATGGATGAATCTAAAATGCATTTTACTGAATGAAAGAGGCAGACTCAAAAGGCTACATACTACATGATTTCACTTATATGACATTCTGGAAGTACCACAGGGACAGAAAACTGATTAGTGGTTGTTAGGCACAGTGGGGGTCAGGGTAGGGGTTAACTGCAAAGGAGCATAAGGAGACTTTTGGAGGTGATGATGGAAACATTCTGTTGATTGTTGTGGTGGTTACACAAAGGTATGTACTTGTCGAAATTCTTATAATTACCCTAAGTAAATTTTACTCAATAAACTTTACTTTTAATAAAATTGATACATCTAGTCTATGGCCATGCCACCCTGAACAAGTCCGATCCTGTCTGATCTTGGAAGCTAAGCAGGGTTGGGCCTGGTCGGTACTTGGATGGGAGACCACCTAGGAATACCAGGTGCTGTAGGTGTAAAAAATAAAAAATAAGGGATTGTAAGCTGACAAGGTCCTTGCAATCTGTGAGGTCAACCGAGGGTTGCCTCACCTAAAAAAAAAAGAAAAAAGAAAATTGATCCGTGCATTCAATTATGTATTACACAATCAGTTTAAAAATAAGGTGGATCAATATATGCTGGTAATAGAATAATTAATCTCTAATACACACAGGACTAAAAAGCAAGATATAGAACAATAAATACAATATCTTCTCATTTCTGGTAATATAGACTATCTCTGGGGAAGGGGTCTGGAGTGGGAGTATATATCCTTTTGTGTTGTTTAAGTTATTTATTTTTTTAAACCACATGCTCGTATTATTTTCAATTAGAAAAAGTAAAAGAAATCTATATACAGGTCAAGGAAAGTCACAGGTGTCTGGCCCAGGGAACCGAGTCATGCAGGCCTGAGAAAACATATGAAAGAAAATATGGAACATAGTGCTAGACACTTAAGAGGTGCTTAATAAATAGCTGGAGGAAGCAAAAATATTTGGAAGCAATTCAGACGCAAACCCTGGACAATGAGAGCTCTATCTGAACACCAGATATTCAGCCAGCAGAGCCCATGTTTTATACGAGGAGCTAAGTTTGTATCATTCATGTTATAAAAAGAAAAGGAGCATAAAACCCAAGTATCTTGTATTTATGTTTGGGCAAACTGTTTTTCAGCATTCCTGTGCAAGGACATTGTGTGCCCAAACATCAGTCTTCTAAGAGATGGGGTGCAAGCCCTTCCCCCTGTGAGCAGAGCCCACCCCTAGGGCTCCTCCAGTGGCCCGAATGCTACATCCCAACTTTCAAAGGGTCCTGAGCAGCCTTTCCTCCAGTTCCTCCAGGTCAGACACTCACAAAACTTTCTGCAAAAACAAAATGACCCCAACAGTCTCACTGCATTCCAGCCTACAGAGAAGACAATCTCAGCACATCAGGCCCTTCTCCACACTAAGGCTTCAAGAAAAGACACCCCAAAAGGAAAAGGCAGATAGGTAAGCAAGGCCCCTCAGCAGACTTTGGTAAAAGAGCTCCCAGGGTTTGGTACAGCTTCTTTCAGCAAGCCTGATCTCAAGGAAATCAGGAATCCAGACGCAAAATGGACAGAGAGGGAAGGCGCCAGAACAGCCAGCCTCAGAAACTGCTCTTTGGTCCCTACTTTATTTGGATATGCTTCTCTGAAGCCACGTAGTTGGTCTTAGCTTTCAAAAAAGTTTGGCCACTGATCCTATGACTAGGAGCGTCTGTGCTGGGTAGCCTCGTCTGGCTGCCTCTGGATACCTGGCTTCCACAGGGCAACCACACAAATTCTACCTTCTCTCTCTCCTCCACAGAAACGAGCTGTGCTGGCAGGCGGATAGGTATAGCAAGGGCAACAGAGTGGGAATGGGGTGGGAACCAACTAAAAGCAAAGTCTTTTCCAGGCACCCACAGACTTGAGGACACGTGCGGGAAGTTACAACAGAATCTCCTTTTCTCTGGAGCACCTCACTTGCCACGAGGGCAGGGTTTCTGACTCCTGTGCCAAGGACCAGGTTGTCTAGGCAGTGGGAATAAAGAGGAGCACTTACCGGGGGAAGATGGCAGTCATCAAGGCTGAAGCATAGCCAGGCTTGCAAGCTCCCTCTGAAAAGTTTGCGTACTTGGTGGCTAATTCCACAGGCCTATGGGAAAAGAAGGAAAGTCACAGCTTGCCAGGCACTGAGCAGTCAGTGGGATATTAGTTTATGAAGAGCTGTAGTTGTTTAAACCTTGAATGAAGCTTCATTCCCTACAAACAGCGCTTAAGCCCCTCTTCTACACCAAGGCATCGGGGGGTGGGGTGGGGGGTGGAAAAACTCCCCAAAACCTAAAGGAAAAGGTAGATAAGTAAGCAAGCCCCCTCAATGGAATTTGGGAAAAGGAACTCACTGGGTTTGCATGGATTCTTTGCAGTAAAGCTGATACCAAAGAAACTGGGAACTCATCAAGGCTCCTGGACTGGGAGAGTCGAGCATGGAGATCTAGGAGAGAGCTGTTCAGGCTTTGATAAAGTCAGAGGCACTGCCCTCTCAACCTTTCTTCTATGTTCCTATACGTCCAGCCTTATCTGCTTTGATTCTCTCCACACATAGATCCAGCCAGTGGGAACCACTAACAGTGCCTCGAATATAGATCATATGTATGTTGGGGCTACTACTGTAACCATTACTACTGTTTAGTTGCGGATGCTTCCTGCTCTTCTGTTCTCTCTGCCTGGAATGTTCTTCCTTGTCCTTCACTTGGCTATGCCTACTGGTCTTTCACAAACAAGCTTAGATGTCAACCTCACTGGGAGTGATTCCCTGACACCCAGAGTGGGCTTAATGCCTCCTCTGTGCTCCTATAGTCCACCTCCTACCACCCACATCACATGCTCACCCCCTTAGCACTTGCTGTACTGTGCTATAATTGTTGGTAATATGTCTCCCTCATTATATTGGAAATTCCCGAGCTCAGAGTCTTCTTACAGAAGACCCCTATAATTTTCTGAAGGAACAAAATGACATTGACAGTCTTACTGTACTTGGACTAAAACCAAGACAATCTCAGGAACCCACAAGTCAGAGATTGCTGAATATTTTTCAGAAGACGTGTGTGTTCTAGCCCTGGCTTTGTTGCTGTGTGACTGTAGTCAGATCACTTCACATGTTTGAGCTTCAATGACAGGCTGGAGTCACTGCCCTGCCACCAGAAACTCTGCCCAATGCACGTTAGAGAAAACCACAATGGAAGAACAGGACACACTCAGTGACTGCTGGGCTGGAGGCCCTACGTGCTGGGGCACCTGAGGAAGCCCTGGCTGGTGGCCAGTTCCCCGTCCCAACCTTCCCCACCTCCACCCTTGGGCCTGCTGCCAAAATTCTGATCATTCTAATGCCCAGCTGCTCTGCTGTGCTGAGGCCTGGTGGAAAGCCTTTTCTCAGGGCTGCCTTCTTCAGGGACTGGGTGGGGTCATACAGGGTGGTGGTAGGGGGGGCAGGTGCAGGGAGGCTGGTGCCTATACTGCAGAGACAGAACCGATGATGCCACTACCTACTGTGTGTCATATGTGATTCACTCATGTGCCCCTGAGGGCCTACCTCAGGGCCTTACACAGAGTAATTGCTCAGTGAATTTAGACAAATTTGTCATATCCGTGCGCAACTCCTTCTAGAAATCTACATTTTTTAGCCCTCCCTACCAATGAAATTTAAAGCCTGAAATGCAAATGCTGAGTGACAAGCCAGAGTTGAGACTTTATTTGGTTGGCAAAAGAAAGTCAAAGGTTTAACAAGAAAATTTACATAACAATATTTTCTTATGTAAACAGCTGTATTTCAGAAATGAAATATAGAATTTACATAACAATATTTTCTTATGTAAACAGCTGTGCTTCAGAAATGAAATATAAGCTTTAGTTCCATTACTAAACTCACTGAAAGCTTTTGGACTAGGCGTAGTGGTTAAATCATTATAGATTTTTCAATTACTCCTCTCAATAGCCGTGTGAGTAGGTGCTATTAATTTACACAGAAGCTCAGAAAGATGAAGAGACTTATTCAAGATCATACGGCAAGTAAGTAGCAGATATCAGATTTGAATCTGTTTCTAACAAGAGTATAGGAGCTCTGAACGTGGCACTGCCACCAGTGTGGGTCACAGTAAGTGCCACCACAGAGAGAAGCACCGAGTCTGGGGACAGCACATGAGTTTTCAGTGCAACTGGAGATGGGGTAGAGAAAGGGTCAAGAAGGCTTCGCACAGCTCTTTGACTGTGTGCATATGAGCAGTGAGGCACTAGGAGTCCCTTATATTCTTGTCTCCCGATCCTCCATCATCTGTTTGCCTGCTTAGCACAGTGGGTTCCTGTGGTCCTTCTCAATTCAAGAAAGTTTCACAAAGAAGATGAAAGATGGACAGCAGCTGCATCTTTGACACAGTGCATTATAAAAATACATGTATAACAAGAAACAAAACTTTGGCTACCTTATTCCTCTCTAGTTTACACCACTACCTTTTGGCAAGGTACTTTAAGAATAAGGGTTCAGGGACTCAGGTAATCTATAATGGAGAAGAGGGAGCAGTGACAAGCTGAAGCACAGGGGAGCTAGAATGAATCGGGGAAGGCTCTTCCCATGGCAGTGCAAGGTAGTCACATATCAAGGATGAGCAGCTCTAAATCAACCTTTTTATTCAGAAAGCAACAGTAACTTCAAAAATACATAGTCCCGGGTACAGTGGGCCAAATTATTACCAAATTAAAATGCCTTAGAACTGGCCTCCTGACCATCCCAATGAGAGAAGAATAGGGGGAGTGTTAGGGATTCTGAGTCATACAGCAGGCTGGGACCTCTGGGGCAGTTAGCGGTCAAAATCACTAAGATTAACAGTCGCCAACTCCCTCGGGCTAGAATAGTTAGTTTCTCTAAGGCACTCACACTCCAAATGCCAGGAGGCCTCCACAGATGTCTGATCAAATCATTCAGCCCTTGTTCTTCTCATACTCTGCAGCTGGCCTTTCATTTTGGGAGGTTTAGCATTTCAACCAGTAAGAGCACCCATTGTCCTACAAACGTGACTACTGAGCCCCTGGGGTGAAGAGTGTAAACTATTGCACTTTCAAGAGGAAATCCAGATGGACAGATTGGAATCCCAAAGAAGGAATCAGACTTCCACTCCCCTGCTTCACCCAAAAGCACCGAATTTAAGTAATCAGGCCAAACAATGGGTTGTAAATGGAAAGAGCATAGGATCTGGAGTCAGAAACTTTCATAGAGGACACTAGCAGGCAGTGTGCCCTTAGGCAAGTCATGGAAAATCTGATTCACAGCTTCCTCATCTACAAATGAGAACCACTTGATTCCTAGGGATCTGGGGAGGATGTGGTGAGAAAGCACATTTGGAGGGGCTGGCTATCCTCTAGAGCAGCGGTCCCCAATCTTTTTGGCACCAAGGACCCATGCTTCTATGAGAATCTAATGTCCAGTGATCTGAGGTGAGGCTGAGGTGGTGAGGTGAGCACTTGGGAGTGGATGCTCATACAGATGAAGCTTCGCTTGCTGGCCCGCCACTCACCTGTTATGTGGCTTGGTTCCTAACAGGCCACTGACCGGTATCAGTCTGCGGCCCAGGCGTTGGGGACCCTTGCTCTAGAGCACCACACAAATGTTACGTGAAAGATGAGGTGGCAGAGGCAGGCAGCCAGGTCATGAAGGCTTTCAACGCTTGGCTCAAGTTTGGATTCTGTCATAGGGGACAGTGACTGAATGATTTCCAGTGAAAGAGTACCTCGATGGCAGTGTGCTTTATAAGGATCAACATTTGGGAGGCGAGGAGTAGCACTGCAAGAGGCTGAAAGGAGCAGTCCAGAAAAATGAGAGTGTGATGCCTCAGTTGCCTTAAGGACAGAGGAACTAACTGTGTCAAACCCTAGATAGGCCTGGTAATGTGTGGCCATAGGATGGACAGCTGAATTTGACAACATGAAGGTTATTCCTGACCTTGAAAGGAGCTGTTTCACTGGAGCGTGTGGGGGGGGGGAGGGGGGAGAGGGGAGTAGTTGAAATGCTGATTTCACTGGGTTTAAGAGAAAACAGAATTGGAATCATGGAATATAAATTACTATTTTTAGGAGTTTTGCTATAAAGGGAGACAGAAATAGGGCAATAGCTGGAGGAAGGAAGCAAGAAAGATGTTTTTTGAGGTTAGGAAATATTTTAGCACGTTTATAAGCTGCTTAAGATAAGAGAAAACTCAAGATGCAGTGGAGATGGAACAGTTGTAGAAGAATTGTCCTCAGTGGGTAAGAGGGGGAAAGGATCTAATACAAAAGTAAGGTTGGCCTAGCTCTGCGAACCCTGCCCTGCTCTGGCCAGTGATCCAGTGATGACCTATTCATCCTGTAATATCAGTTTAACACCACTTCCTTTATCAAGCTTTTCACAATTGCTTCCTCCCCAAGTAGAACCAACCTATCCTGCCCATGGTCTCCATTATACCTAGAGCTGACTTTCACCTTAGCTTGCTCACTTATTCCTACACACTCTCTCTCCCATCTCCTTCCCTTAGTTCATCTTATTCATTCATTCATTCACTCGTTCATTCACTCAACAAATATTTAGGGGCAACATAAGTCACTCTGCTTGGATTTTAAATCCTGGCTCTATCCCTTACTAGCTGTGTGACTGTGGGCATATTATTTAATTGCTCTGTGCCTTAATTTCCACATCTTTAAAACTATGACTATACTGGTACTTACCTTGTAAAATTGTTGTGATAATTATGCTGAGAATAATGTGGTTAGTATTATTCCTGGCATATAGTTATTTCTCAATACATGCTAACTATAACAGTCTCATTGTTATGTGCCAGACATTGGCCTGGGATTAGGGATACAATAATGACTAGGACATAGTTATGGCATAATACTTATTACACTGAAGAGTAATTGTTCATTTAAATATCTTTCTCTCCTCGACTATGAAAATTGAATGCAGCGTATAGCACAGAGTACCATGCATGGCACAGAGTATATAAGTACCGAACAAAATGTTTGTTGGACTGAACCTAATTGGTTAACTTGACTTGGAGGTTAACTGACAAGGAGTATCGGGGAGAGATGGTGATGGCTAGGGAAAATGAAGAAGGGACTTCAGGGTTTACT